CTCTCTCTCTCTCTCTCTCTCTCTCTCTCTCTCTCTCTTTCTCTCTTTCTCTCTAATTGACGCACCTTTTGTATCAAATAAATTGATTAATATTTATTAAAATAATGTAATTGTAAAACATATAATATTAAATACAACTTATTTTAATAATATGATTTTCAAAATTAAACACAATAATTGATAAGGTGTAAAAGATATGATTACATTAAAATAAAATTTAAAATAATTCTTTAGACAGTTCAACCTTATTGACAATCTTATATAACATAATTAAACAATTTTTACTATGTTCAAAATATGCAATTTATTATTTTCTGTCAATTTTCTATTAATGTACATAATATATACTTAAAATACATTATAAAAACAATTAATTTTGCACATAGTTTTCGCAATCGGTTGAAAAGTTGACCACACATTCGCCACCCGATGGTAAATTACGGCAATGGTTGCCTTTAATGGTATTACCGCAGCCACCGATACCGGCTTTTGTTTGGTGGTGTATCTGATCAGGGTGATTAGAGCTTGAGTAGTTTAAATATGCTATTTATGATTAAAATAATAAACTAACCTCAAAACCATGTTTCAAAGGATGAGTGCCTGTATTGCCTTCAATAGTATAGTTATCTCCCTTAACATCGATGTGGGACTCGGCATAGTTTTGTCCCGATTCACCATGGCCATCGAAATGGTTGCCCTTAATTAGGCCACAACACGAGCCCTCTTTGATGTCTATACACTCGGCTGTAACTTCGGGTCCGATCCGGTTGTGGAGCACTTTATTGCGGTCACTCTTGTCTGGCTGACCATTTTGCCAATTGTTAGACTGCATAATCCCATTAAGGTATTTATCAAATTAATTAGTTATAATTTGTTATAATTAACATAGCATTTGATAAACTTGTTATCTATTATATATAAACGAAACTAATATTTTAAAAATATTTCAATAATTAAAACAACGCTAAGGTAAAAATTTTTAAACAATAAATACCCATATTAATTAAACATATGTTACATACCGCTTGCCCAATATAGACACCCTCGCCATAACCCTGATCTTTTATTGTGCCCCTCCCGGTGTGATGAATGTACGAGTGTTGTAGTGTATTATCAGTGCTGCCCCACCGAAAATGTATGCCCTCTTGCGTAACGTTATGCACCTCCACGTTGTCTATGAGGTTATGTGAGGCGCCCTCCAGTACTATACCCTTTTGAGAGTCGGCAACAGTGAAGCCCATTAGCACCCAGTGGTCGGCCTTAAGCCAAAAGCCGTATTTAATGCCTGTTATGATCGCATGTTTAGAGCCAGTGAGTCTGATGGGGGCCGAGGCTGTGCCCGATATGTTGGTCTCAAATGATCCATGGTAATTGCCGTCGTGTAAGCGTATGGTATCACCCGGTGCTGCCGATGACAGGGCGCTGTGCAGTTGGTCACCGTTGCACACCTTAATAATTTTGCAGTTGCCGTAAATCGCGATACAACTGAGCGTTATTATGAGCGCAAATTTCATTGTTATTGCAATCATGTATTCAATTTACAGTAGATTTATTTATTCAGTTAGTATTGTTCATTAGTAAAACAGTATGGTTGAGCCAGCACCTTTTTGAAAACAATTTAACTTTAAAATACTTCTCTCTCTCTTTCTCTCTTTCTCTCTAATTGACGCACCTTTTGTATCAAATAAATTGATTAATATTTATTAAAATAATGTAATTGTAAAACATATAATATTAAATACAACTTATTTTAATAATATGATTTTCAAAATTAAACACAATAATTGATAAGGTGTAAAAGATATGATTACATTAAAATAAAATTTAAAATAATTCTTTAGACAGTTCAACCTTATTGACAATCTTATATAACATAATTAAACAATTTTTACTATGTTCAAAATATGCAATTTATTATTTTCTGTCAATTTTCTATTAATGTACATAATATATACTTAAAATACATTATAAAAACAATTAATTTTGCACATAGTTTTCGCAATCGGTTGAAAAGTTGACCACACATTCGCCACCCGATGGTAAATTACGGCAATGGTTGCCTTTAATGGTATTACCGCAGCCACCGATACCGGCTTTTGTTTGGTGGTGTATCTGATCAGGGTGATTAGAGCTTGAGTAGTTTAAATATGCTATTTATGATTAAAATAATAAACTAACCTCAAAACCATGTTTCAAAGGATGAGTGCCTGTATTGCCTTCAATAGTATAGTTATCTCCCTTAACATCGATGT